TTCAAGCCCCAACCCCGGGCCTGGCTCCAGGGTGAGGCTCCGGTTGTGCCATGCCGGGCAACGTCACGGTCCTTGATTTAATTCTATTCATAAAGGGCTTTTTGAAGCGCTCTTAGCCAGACTCGTCACCTAGGACCTGCTTGCCTTAGGAGACCCTACCAGGGGCATATAGCCCCCGACAACATAGCTCCTAGGATCACTCGGGTACTCAAACCCCTCCACCAAAATAAGGTGCGGTTCAAGGAGGGGAGTTGTGTTTATTTTTAATGTATATTCTTATTTACACTCTACAGCACTTTGGTCCACCTTGGTTGTTTTTAGTGCTTTATAAATAAAGATGGAATGGAATGAATAATGTAGCATTACTTGCCATGTGAATTGTTGCCCAGATGTCAAGATCTGCTACATCATCCATCTGTAGTACAAGTCCATGAAGCTTTGGGTTCTCCTTCACTGGATTGTGTGGGTCTGAGTTCTGGACTTGACGTACAAGTGCACTGCATTCAACCACAAATACAATGTACTGTACAATGTATTGTATATGACCTGTGTTTTTGATTTTCAATAAACTTGACTTTCACTATACGTATATACTGGCTTGAATAGTGGTTGCCACAAACAGGACACGTATACTGGGGGAAAAAGAAATAAATGGCTGGTGGTGACACCTGGTCTCCATAGAGGCTCTTGCACAGACAGCTTCCTCCACATTTTGCTTTTCTGCTTCAGGTTCACCCATTTGTTAAATGTGCATGAAACAAACCTCTATTATTACGTTATATTAATTAAATTAAGAATGAACCATCCAATCTTAACAGACCACTATGTGTGATGCTTCATGCAACATACCTGGCACTCATTTTATTTCATACAACACACCGATAAATGGTGTTTTAACAGAAGCCCAGCTGATCATATGCACCAATATACAGAACTCTAATCTACTTCACATTCAACACCCACATCTGGTTACGTACTACCCACAGGCATCATTAGACCCCTTTTACTGGAGCACGTTGCCCACTAAAACTGACACGGAGTTTCAACTAGCTCCAACATTTGGCAGTGGATTAATTTAGATCGATAATAATAATAAAATTGTGTTCTAATCCAGAATGTCAAAGCGAAATACAAGCTGAGGCGCATTTGTCAGGCTTCACACACAAACCCATGATGGACTTCTGTACATCAATGCATGTGATCAGTTGAACTACTCTTAAAACTCTATTTACTACATGAAATAAAATAAATGCCAAATATGTAGCATCACATGTATTGGTCTATGTTAACTCTGGACCGTTCTTTCTGAATTTAATGATTATGACATATTTGAAGCTCTTGTCACACAGTCCTAATGATGTCTGTCTGATGCTCATTTAACAAACCAACCTGAGGCAGGAAGGTAAAGTGTGGAGGAAGATGTGGAACAGGTGTGTCACCACCAGCCACCTACTGTGCAGTACAATTCTGAAGTAGTTGGACCATCAATATGTTATGGGACCTTATGAGTTACTAAAAATGATTAGATTGTTTTACATTTCAATTAATGAATTGTTGATAAATTAACTTGTGAAAGTTTAAATTTGACAAATCAAATTGAGGCGGCTTGACAATCAAATTAGTTACTAGTGTGAAATGCAGAAGAGTGTAAAGAAATGTGCAATGCAGGGTCAGACTTTTACACCATAAAATCCTGTTGAGAATGTTCTTAATGTATGTTGAAGTAAATATTTTAGCAGTAGTAAAAGTAGTTATTTCAGTAGCAGCAGTATGGCTGTGGAAGGGAAGTTCACAAACCAGTGAATAGCACATTTCATTCATGCAGCAGACATTAAGGAAAAAGAATTGTGTGATTTGAGTAATGGGGGTCCTGTGCCCCAGTAGAGCTTTATGTCTAGCAACGCCCCTGGTACTAGCCAACTAAACTAGAGAGAATCATTCTCTCCATGGTTAATAGCCAGGCCACCATTCTTTAACATGAAGTTATATCATTAAATCCTGGCCTTGCTTCCACTGGCAATGCTAACGCTCTACATTAACATTCAGTTCTGGCTAATGCTTTGTGACAAAGTGGGTGAGAACTCTCCATTTATCCCCAGTTATTTTATGTATGTCCCTCATTTTTTTAACCACACTTTTAAAATGTTTGTTTAGCTAAAAGTCCACGTTTAATCAATAACATTGCAGGCACATACTGTCCTGGGTTTGTTTGTGTTTGGCATTATGTTTTGTTACAGTTATCACCAATATCTTTGGTTAAAGTAGAACACAGTTACAATTACATTATTGTGTGATTTAGATACAAGTTGTAAAAATTAATTTGTAGCCTTTGTGTTTATACTCACCATTCTTCCAGAAGACAAAAGGAGAAGGCATTCAACTTCCTCATTTTATACACTCTCTGACATCATTGATGACGTTGTGGGGTTGGCCAGGTGTGTCAGACACACGAGGAATTCAACTCTGGTACACTACAATATGAAAGTCAACTTGCACTGATCTCAAATTTTCCAGAGTTAATCCATTAGAATCTGCCTTTATTAATGAAAAGGAACATACAATTTACATGATTGTGTAGCTGTAAGTACATATATGATTCAGACAACATCAGAATCATAACAACATTGATGGTGCCATAGAAAAGGAGACGTGGCACAATGTCAGAAATCCATAAGCTTGGCACACATGCTCATCTAAGGTTTTTTTCCTCTCACTGCTCTTGAAATTGTAAGCCTGAAATGAGCAAACCTATAGAACAGAGTTTGCAGGCAGAAACCTCAAAGTAGGTGCATACAAGATCAGGATTACAGGTGCAAACCAAAATGTACAAGCATAAAAGATAAGCTACAATAAGATGAAAGTTACAATAAGACACAAACCCGTTTTCAAGCACATCTTTTTTTGAATAATTTTATATTCCCCATGGTACTTCATGGTCTCCGGGAGGAGTGTCCACAGGGTCCAATGTCTCCACAGTGGCATCAGAGGAAACTGGCTAAAAGCTTGAGCAATTTGGAGGAAATTCTCTTATCATTATCATCATTGCTATAAAGATCAGTTTAATTTGGATTTTTCACCTTTTTTTTATATTTATCATTTGTTTCATAACCTGCCTTTTACAGTGTATTGAAACAAGCAGACCAAGAAGATTTAAGATTGTGATTTTCAACAGTTTTCACCATAATTTAGTCAGTGAAGCTACAACATATTAAAAGCATCATTTAGCATAACGTTTCTTTCTACTGTAGAACCAGTTAAAAACAGAACATGCTGTATTTATACCTTTTGTTACTTTGAAGCCGAATTTGGCCAACAGCTGAGGAGGTCACACCACCTGATATTCAAATGGCAATGCTATTTTCTACCTTCACTGGATCCATGTATGTGTATGGCACTTTCAGACCATTGTTTCTGGCTTTGATGACTGCATTCAACACTTCAAGTTCTGCCTGAAAACACTTTATCAGCATACGTGGAATGTCTTCAGTGAAGTGGTCCTCCTGGTACTGGCCAAGAGGGACCTGATGAGATCAGCAATACAATTAAGATTTTGTTTGTTGGTTTAAATGTTTATCAAGCGTAAACCTTTGGCAACATAACATACACATTTCATGGTTACTTACAAAGTCTGAGGACTCCTTGCTGAGTAGCCACAGGACAGACATGATCTGCACTGTTGCGTTGACATCAGGGAATG